ATGCATGTTCTGTATGGGAAGTTTGGCCCAACTCTATCGTTGGTGGAGTTCAAGGGGCTCTTTGATTGTAGGTGAATGTGCTGGTACGGCTGTACCAGGAGCTCCAACTTTATTTGCTTTGTGTTCAATGTTTGCTTGCAGTCCAAGGTTTCAAGAAGTCTGCAGAAAGGTGGCTTCCTTTGGTTGCAATCATAGGGCAAGTCACCTGTCCATCATCGTTCAGTTTTGGTTCCGCCCCTTGCTCAGGGCAATTGGGAAGGGAAGGGAGCCATTTTTAGTTAGTCTCAGCAAGGAAAGCTAATGTACAGGACTTGTGCAAGCTTCCCCTGTACAAAACCTTCAACCTTTAAGACTTTCTGGGGAGAACAGTCTTAAGAGCATCCAAAGATTTCCAGGGAAACAGCCCTAAAGCTTTGAAGATTTTCAGAGGGTAACAGTTTGGAAGACCAAAGAACTCCAGCTGGAGAATATCTAAGCCTTTACTGGTAGGTCCACTCGGTGCTTCAAGACGCAGTTCAACCCGGTAGCGGAGCCCACATCAGTAAGGGTTAGATTACAGTCAGCTAGGGAGAAGTTAAAAAGGGGATTTTCCTTTAAAGTAAAGAAGAAGTTATTGAAGACAGTTACCTGTCCTTCGTGGGCAAGATTAGGAAGCCACCAGTTGCATAAAGCCTGGAAGCATTTGTTTAGCTTTATTGAAGACAAGAGAAGTTTCTGTTTGATTGTTCATTAATAAAAGACTTTGTTATACTTCACAAGCCATCTAAAGATCATTTGTGGTGGAAAACTTCTGAGAACTTCTCCTTGGGGCCCCTGGCTTCCCGCTGGGCAAAGGTTGCATGTCCTGTTCTAAAGGAAATTCTTTACAGGCCCAGCGTGCGACAGAACAGAGAACTATAAATCCCAGCAACTACAACTCCCAAACATCAAGGTCTATTTTCCCCAAACTCCACCAGTGTTCACATTTTGACATATTGAGTATACATGCCAAGTTTGGTCCAGATCTATCATTGTTTGAGTCCACAGTGCTCTCTGGATGTAGGTAAACTACAACTCCAAAACTCAAGGTCAATGCATACCAAACTCTTCCAGTATTTTCTGTTGGTTATGGGAGTTCTGTGTGCCAAGTTTGGTTCAATTCCATTGTTGGAGGAGTTCAGAATGCTCTTTGATTGTAGGTAAATTATAAATTCCAGCAACTACAGTTCCTAAATGGCAAAATCAATTGAAAATCAAATGAAATTACATCCTGCATATCAGATATGTACATTACAATTCATAACAGTAGCAAAATTACATCTATGAAGTAGCAACAAAATAATTTTATGGTTGGGGATCACCACAACATGAGGAACTGTATTAAGGGGTCGTGGCATTTGGAAGGTTGAGAACCACTGGTTAAGGGCTTTATAGGCCAAGACCAGCAATTTAAATTGAGCCCAGTAGCATATCGGCAACCAGTGGAGCTGACACAACAGAGGATTTGTGTGCTCCTTGTACGCCACTCCAGTTAGAAGTCTAGCTGCCTCCCATTGGACTAGTTGGACTTCTGGTCCGTCTTCAAAGGCAACACCAGGATTTTGGCTGATTTGTTTCAGATCAGCCAAAATCCAGTTTCTTGTTCCAACTAGAACAATGTACTCCATCTAATACGAAACAACTTTTTAAAAAATACGCAAACCACAAATAAATTAGTAATTTCAAACACCTATTGTGGATCAGACTGATAAGGTAATACGAGAAAAATGTCGGTGATTCAATCAAGGAGGAAGCTTATGAACAAAGCTATTCAGTAGAGATGATGGAGCAACAGCATCCCACACACACACCCCCATGGCCAGAACCGAGCACAAGCCTCCAAGATGCCGAAGATGGAAAACCCTATATATAACTCTATCTATGTACAGTTGTCTGTCTTGTCAGTGTATAACAGCATTGAATGTTTGCTGTATATGTGTTCTGTGATCCATCCTGAGTCCTATTCAAGATGAGAAGGGCAGAATATAAATACCGTATATTCTGGCATATAAAACATCTGGGCGTATAAGACGACCCCCAACTTTTCCAGTTCAAAAAAATATAGATTTTGGGATATATTCGCCGTATAAGACTACCCTTCTTCCAACATACACCAAATAAAAATTTAAAAAGCATCAGATTTGATTTCAATAAGGTAATTTTCCTATTACTGTACCTCCTTCTCTGCCTCTCAGATGTCGCACATGCGAACCTGCACCACTTCACTGCAGTCTTCAGGATACAAGGGCAGGCCAGACAAGTAAAAGAGGTGTGTTTGTCTGGGACCAGAGCCACTCTATCTCTTTTTTCCATACCCCGGACACACCAGAAGCCTGCAGCTTCCTCCGCCCTTCACTTACACCTTCCCGGTGAGGCGCCCCTTCACCTCACCATCGGGACCGCATTAAGTCCACGAATCCCGATGAATGGATTTTCTTCTACCGTACTTGTACAGCGTTGCCCTTAATGCTTTCATACAGTCGCTGCATACGGCAGGGACGCGGCCACTGCCATTTTTGAGTTTCCCCCATGATATGCAGCAACCACAGATTCTCCAATCCGATTGGAAGTTTCAGCTCCCGGCTCTATAAGACTACTCCTGCATATAAGACTACCCCCATGTATAAGACTACTCCCGTGTATAAGACTACTCCCGCGTATAAGACTACTCCCGTGTATAAGACCACTCCCGTGTATAAGACGACCCCTGACTTTTGAGAAGATTTTCTTGGGTTAAAAAGTAGTCTTATACACCAGAATATACGGTACTGCAAATAAATAAATAAATAACTATTTCTTCCAATGCCTTGTGATTTATTACACTAAATAAGATATATGTGCTTCTACTTAATATGATTTCTACTACTTTTGAAACACTATAACAGATTATTTGCTTTTCTCAAGTAAATCACCATTGGTTGCCATTACCAAATGGTCAGTCTCCATTTCAGCTCAGTCATCCATCTTCTACAACTAACCTGTTGATGGAATTTCCTCTATTTTTAACTTTGGTGCATACAAAAGTCTTGCTACTATTATCATATATTGAGAGTTCTTCCATGTTTCTTTCCATGTGGATGATGCTAATAGTTCCAACAACTATTGCTAGAGTTTCATTTGCAACTTCATTGGGCCCTTCCACACAGCCATATAACCCAGAATATCAAGGCAGATAATCCACAGTATCCACTTCGGACTGAATCCACACTGCCATATAATCCAGTTCAATGCAAATTTCATACCGCATTGAACAATGTATTCCCCATCAGAACTGTTTTACTTTACCAGAAGTCCACCACATATGAAAAAATGTTAAACCATCTAATGGTAGCCTATACTTATGTGAATCCCATTGATTCAATGAGTTTCCTTTAGCAATTAAATTTAGGACAAATAAAGGAACTGTGCAGCCATCCAAATGCTGTTCTACTGCTGGTATAGAACTGGAATTTAGGGGTCTTTGCCAGGAGGCAGAGATCAATCAGACTCCTTAAAGAGTTTGTTACCCTGGCAAGACAGAGAAAAGCACCCAATCCCTGATTTTTCCCAATAAAAGGTCTCACCAAATTGAAGGAAGTGCCACCGAGATGTTTTATTTGCGATTCAGCTGAAAAGGATGCAATGCAGCAATCATTCGCCAAGCAGAGCATGTGGTTACAAAAATAAATGCTATTTTTATAGAAATACAAAGTTGTATGGTTCAAATCTCCCACGCCTACCCCCGGCCGATCTTCGTCGTGATTGGCTGACGTGCCAACAGCTGGGAGGGGGCTCGTCCACCCCCGGCGCATCTGGACCAATCAGGGAGCCACTGCAGTGTGTAAGGGCCAATGAAAATGCTTCTACCGCTCTGGTGTCTCAACGGATCAGGAGGGAGGGAGGCGGGGCGAGGGAAAAACAATAGATGCTTGAATGGATTATGAAGTAAGGAAATGCCAGCGGCTTAATGAGTCCCAGGAAGGGCCTTAATAATCAAGCAGTTCTATTGATTCATGAATGGTGATAATTGAATACAAACAGGAAAATCCAGGCTTTCTGTGGCGGTAAAACAGAAGGACAAAAGGGGCAATACTGGGTGAAGTTTATGATGAATGATTGAATGGGGCAACAGGGCAGAAAGGGGGATGCTTTTCGAAGGTGCCCCCCATCTCCAATTAGAAAAGTAATCAAAAGTCTGCCAAGGGGCGACCTCCCTGCTCTGAGGGCAAGGATGTCGCCTTTGTTTCTGTCCATGCAAAAGATTTGTTGATAAGAGTTCTTTGTGATTGATTTAGGCTCTGCACCCTTTCCGTATCGGGGGCAGAAATCCCACTTCCTGGTGGGATTTCATCAAAGGGAAAGGGGAGAAAAAGGTCAAGGAGGAAACCTCAGCCACAAGGAAAATCATGAAAATATATCATAAGTCCATAGTCCATAAAGGGAAAAGTTCATGAGGGGGAAAGAGAGTCCCTTGTTTGTGAGATGGGGACCATCAGGAGCCCAGGTGTGCCTCAGATGGAAAAATTCAAATACTTTTGTGGCATGATTTTCAGTAATAAATTGGTTACTTTCTGCTATAAACATATGAAAATAGAGCATAAAGCCTTGATTAAATGATACACATGAAACTGACCAAGGCTTAACCCTTATTATCCAGCCTGGCGTCCTTGCCCTTAGCAAAACTATAAGTTACTATCTCTTATGGGGGTGTCATGTTCAACTTCACTGCAACCATTAGCATTCCTCCCCATTGGCTATGCTTGCTGGGGCTGATGAGAGCTGCAGTCCAAGAACAATAGGAGGGCCACACTATTTGCACCCCTGACCTAAGTCTGTCATCAAAGGATGGGTGTGGGTCAACCCTTCTTCGCTCAATAAATAAATAAATGTCATTTCAATTTAGTGTCTCTAATTTAAAATTATGAATATTACAATGGGCTATTCATGTTCAGCCACCGGCAAAAGCCAGCGGCACACCCAGCATCAAGACTCAGTGCTCCATTGTTGAACCAGAGTAGATTTGGGGATCATTCTACCCAAAGGACAACAAACCCTTGCCAGTGAAATGCTATGTCTCCAGGTAAGAGCTGAGATTGCTTTCTTTTCCTTCTCCTAAAATCAGTATGTCTTCAGCTGTAGACTTGACGGAAAATACAAAGTGCCTACCCCAAAAATAGGGGTTGTTTTTGTATACTGAAAAATGGCATTTTGGAATGATCTGAGATAATTTGTGTCAAGGGGATTTGCTTCTGCCTGAGAAGTATGCTGTGGAGGGTTGTGTATTGCCCTGACAGCTCCACATAACTTGCAATCACAACTACTGCAGTGGATTCTACATAGTTTGGGTTTTAAGATCAGCTCGCGCCTGGTCAAGATCTAACAAGTCAAGCACAGCCCATCTGCAAAAGCAATAGAAAACCTAGGAGATTAATCCGTTGAGTTATTGTATCCAAATGGTGTGCCTATGCTTTGCAAAGTTCCTTTTTGGGAAGAGAGAAAATTTGGCCCGCTACCATGCTGATTCAGAAATTCTGGGAGCTGTTGGCCAAAAAGTAATTTTTGTGAACTCTACCCTGGTGAATCAGTACACAGAGTTCCAAGTTGGATTGACAAATAAGTCTGGACTGCTACAGTGCCATATCTTCAATCCTTTTGAAGCTCTGGTTCTGGTGAACCATTTATGGTTTGTTTTGTTGTTGTTGTTCATTCGTTCAGTCGTCTCCGACTCTTCGTGACCTCGTGGACCAGCCCACGCCAGAGCTCCCTGTCGGCCGTCACCACCCCCAGCTCCTTCAAGGTCAGTCCAGTCACTTCAAGGATGCCATCCATCCATCTTGCCCTTGGTCGGCCCCTCTTCCTTTTGCCTTCCACTTTCCCCAGCATAATTGTCTTCTCTAGGCTTTGCTGTCTCCTCATGATGTGGCCAACGTACTTCAACTTTGTCTCTAGTATCCTTCCCTCCAATGAGCAGTCGGGCTTTATTTCCTGGAGGATGGACTGGTTGGATCTTCTCGCAGTCCAAGGCACTCTCAGGACTTTCCTCCAACACCACAGTTCAAAAGCATCGATCTTCCTTCGCTCAGCCTTCCCTAAGGTCCAGCTCTCACATCCGTAGGTTACTACAGGGAATACCATGGCTTTGACTAGGCGGATCTTTGTTGCCAGTGTGATGTCTCTACTCTTTACTATTTTATCGAGACTGGACATTGCTCTCCTCCCAATGGTTTGTTTGGAATCAGTGAATTAGGGACACATTTCCATTAGATAAAGATTTAGGGTGTCAAAAGCCATGAACTAATTGGAGTGTCATTGAAGATTAAAGTCAATCCTCCTGCATTGATGATCAGGGAAGAAGCCTGTCTCATCTTCCATGATAGAATCATAGAATCATAGAGTTGGAAGAGACCTCATGGGCCATCCAGTCCAACTCCCTGCCAAGAAGCAGGAATATTGCATTCAAAGCACCCCTGACAGATGGCCATTCAGCCTCTGTTTAAAAGCTTCCAAAGAAGGAGCCTCCACCACACTCCGGGGCAGAGAGTTCCACTGATGAACGGCTCTCACAGTCAGGAAGTTCTTCCTAATGTTCAAATGGAATCTCCTTTCTTGTAGTTTGAAGCCATTGTTTTGTGTCTTAGTCTCCAGGGAAGCAGAAAACAAGCTTGCTCCCTCATCCCTGTGACTTCCTCTCACATATTTATACATGGCTATCATATCTCCTCTCAGCCTTCTCGTCTTCAGGCTAGACATGCCCAGCTCTTTAAGCCACTCCTCATAGGACTTGTTCTCCAGACCCTTGATCATTTTAGTCGCCCTTCTCTGGACACATTCCTGCTTGTCAATATCTCTCTTCAATTGTGGTGCCCAGAATTGGACACAATATTCCAGGTGTGGTCTAACCAAAGCGGAATAGAGGGGTTGAATCAGGCCAAAATCCCATTGGCTTTTTTTGCCGCCACATCACATTGTTGGCTCCACGAGCACCCCAAGATCTTTTTCACATGTACTGTTCTTGAGCCAGGTGTCCCCATTCTGTATCTTTGCATTTCGTTTTTTCTGCCTAAGTGGAGTATCTTGCATTTGTCCCTGTTGAACTTCATTTTGTTAGTTTTGGCCCATCTCTCTTATCTGTCAAGATTGCTTTGAATCCTGCTTCTGTCCTCTGGAGTATTGGCTATCCCTCCCAATTTGGTGTCGTCTGCAAACTTGATGATCATGCCTTCTAGCCCTTCACCTAAGTCATTAATAAAGATGTTGAACAGGACCGGGCCCAGGACAGAACCCTGCGGCACTCCACTCGTCACTTCTTTCCAGGATGAAGAGGAAGCATTGGTGAGCACCCTCTGGGTTCGTCCGCTTAACCAATTACAGATCCACCTCACTGTAGTTTTGCCTAGCCCACATTGGACTAGTTTCCTTACCAGAAGGTCATGGGGGACCTTGTCGAAAGTCTTACTGAAATCCAGGTACGCTACATTCACGGCATTCCCCGCATCTACCCAGCTTGTAACTCTATCAAAAAAAGAGATCGGATAGTCTGGCATGACTTGTTTTTGATAAATCCATGTTGACTATGAGTGATGACCGCATTTGCTTCTAAGTGTTTGCGGACCACTTCCTTAACAATCTTTTCCAGAATCTTGCCTGGTATCTATGTGAGGCTGACCGGACGGTAATTGTTTGGGTCATGCTTTTTTCCCTTGATGAATGAAAGACATTTGTATTCACTGGGGATGTGGTTCCAGTCAGACCACAGTTTCCTGAAATTATGGACACAATCCGAACAGCATTACGTTTGCTGACTTCTGGTCCCAGCATACTATAGTACTGAAAGACCCAGAGATTTCTAGAGTGGTATTATCGCAAGGCATAGAATCAGAATCATAGAGTTGGAAGCCATCCAGTCCAACCCCCTATCCAGTCCAATCGCATTCAAAGCATCCCTGACAGATGGCCATTCAGCCTCTGCTTAAAAGCCCCCAAAGAAGGAGGTTCCACCACACTCCAGGGCAGAGAGTTCCACTGCTGAATAGCTCTTACAGTTAGGAAGTTCTTCCTCATGTTCAGGTGGAATCTCCTTTCTTGTAGTTTGAAGCCATCATTCTGCATCATAGTTTCCAGGGCAGCAGAAAACAAGCCTGCTCCCTCCTCCCTACGACTGTCCCTCACATTTATCCATGGCCCACATCATGTCTCCTCTCAGCGTTATCTTCTGCAGGTGAAACATTCCCAGCTCTTTAAGCCACTCCTTGTAGGTCTTGTTCTCCAGACCCTTGATCATTTTAGTCACCCTCCTCTGGACACATTCCAGCTTGTCAACATCTCCTTTCAATTGTGGTGCCCAGAATTGGACACAGTGTGATTCCAGGTGTGGTCTGACCAAGGCAGAATAGATGGGTAGCATGACTTCCCTGGATCTAGACACTAGACTCCTATTTATATAGGCCAAAATCTCATTGGCATTTTTGCCACTGCATGACATTGATCTTTTTCACATGTACCGCTATTGAGCTGTCGAGCCTTATGGGCAGGGGGCATACCATAAAATCACCTGGAAGACTGAGAAATATCTAGAGATATGATTTCCCTTGGGCACGGGTAAGTGAAGCTGCAATTATGGATTCCAAGGTTATCAAGGTCTTCCTGTATTTGCAAAGTGAGCTGGAATAGCATAATTTGCAAATATAGTATGGCATAGTGATTCGAATGTTGGCCAAGGATTTCAGGAACCCCATTTCCTTTCAAGCATGCAAACTCATTGAGTGATTCCGGGCAAATCATGCTTTCTCAACCAATAAGGAAAGTAATGGCAAAGCTCCTCTAAAGAAATATTGTGAGGAAAACACCCTCTGATGAATCAAGGTCAATTTGAAAGCACGTAACTGCAATGAATTCTTGCAAAGTTCAGATGTATTGCCACAGCTCAGCTCGTAATCCATGGACATTGCAGTAGTCAAGTAACTAGCAGTTGTCACATATCTGTGGGGTTTTTTAATGTGCATGCATCACACTGTGCCTGGAGCATCCACCTTCTTCACTCCAAAAGATTGCAGAATGTTCTACTAATGTCAAAGTAGGCGGACGTCACCTTCCCAGCAAACCAGCAGCCCAGTTCCTGTTCTCATTTCCATGCCAGGTGTGACCATTGCTAAATGGGTGTCATGGTAGCTACTCCCAGGATGCAGAATTTATCCACCAAAATGTGCATAGTTTACTTCCTCTCCCCTTGCAACCTTTTAATTCAGTTGGCCTTGGGCAAGTGAACTGAGCAGCTAAGGAAGGGGTTTTATTCAGAAATTGGTAAAGTGACTATTGTGGATCACAAGTCCCAGACTGCTCCAGGGAGGCGGCTGTTCTGACAAGAAGAACTTTATTTTTCTACCCCACCTCCATCTCCCGAAGGGACTCGGGGCAGCCCAAGCCCAGGCAGCAACTACACTACGTGAACTAGTTAAAGGATAAAGTGGTTTAGTAAGGTGGATAACAATGTATAACAGCATAGGAAATATCATGGAAACAGAGCAAATTAACAGGATTAGTTAATATAATATAGGACATTAGATTGGATGACAATTCAAGTCATGATACAGACCATTTGTCATAGGAGTCATCAATCGAAAGCACGACAAAACATCCACATCTTTAATTCCTTATGGAATGTGGCTAGGGAGGGTGCCAGCCTAATCTCCCTGGGGAGGGAGTTCCAGAGACGGGGGGGCCACCACTGAGAATGCCCTCTCTCTCGTCCCCACCAACCGTGCTTGAGACGGGGGTGGGAGCGAGAGAAGGGCATCCCCGGAAGATCTTAAGGACCACGTGGGTTCGTAAGGGAGGAGGCGGTCGCGCAAACAGGCAGTTCCTGAACCGTTTAGAGCTTTATAGGTGATAACCTGCACCGTGTATTGGGACCGGAAACTTATCGGCAGCCAGTGGAGCTGTTGAAACAGGAGGGTTGACCGCTTTCTGTAACTTGCTCCAGTTAACAATCTGGCTGCCGATCTTTACACCAGCTGTAGTTTCCGAACCGTCTTCAAGGGCAGCCCTACGTAGAGTGCATTTCTAAAAACGTGGATGTTCCACTGTGCTTTTTTTAAAAATACATTTTTATTGAACATTTTGGGAACGTGCTTTTGATTAGACAGGACCCCAGATAATTTTGGCCCCAGCTATGATCCAAAATTTAATTTTTGCACTTTACTACTGTTCCCCCGGTGGCGCAGTGGGTTAAAGCACTGAGCTGCTGAGCTTGTTGATCGAAAGGTCGCAGGTTCGATTCCGGGGAGCGGCGTGAGCTTCCGCTGTCAGCCCTAGCTTCTGCCAACCTAGCAGTTCGAAAACATGCAAATGTGAGTAGATCAACAGGTACCGCTCCGGCGGGAAAGTAACAGCACTCCATGCAGTCATGCTGGCCACATGACCTTGGAGGTGTCTACGGACAACGCTGGCTCTTCGGCTTAGAAATGGAGATGAGCACCACACCCCAGAGTCAGACATGACTGGACTTAATGTCAGGGGACTACCTTTACCTTTTTACTGTTCCCAACCCAGAGATATAGTGTTCTTTGCCATATTGCCCTCTATCCCTAATTCCGTCATCTACCTTTTTCACTTTATTCATCAGCCTGTTCTCACAACTGATTTGCACCAGCCTGCCACCCGAGCCCAGAAACTATTTACCATTTCAGGCCATTGGCTGATTGCTCGGTGGTTGTTTTTATACTGTGTTATGTTGTTGTTTTATATTGTTTTATGATGTTATCTATTTTAATTATGTTGATGTTTTAACTATGTTGATCGGGCTTGTCCCCATGTAAGCCGCTCCGAGTCCTTTTGGGAGATTGAGGCGGGATATAAAAATAGCTATTATTGTTATTATTAGAATCATAGAATCATAGAGTTGGAAGAGACCTCATGGGCCATCCAGTCCAACCCCTGCCAAGAAGCAGGAAAATTGGATTCAAAGCACCCCCAACAAATGGCCATCCAGCCTTTGCTTAAAAGCTTCCAAAAGCTTCCATTGTTGGCTCATGTTTAACTTGTTGTCCATGAGGACCCCAAGATCTTTTCCACACGTACTGCCCTCGAGGATTTTATTATTATTATTATTATTATTATTATTATTATTATTATTATTATTTCTGGGAATTAAAGTCCGAAGAAGGAATTTTCTCAGACTTCCCTTTCTGCGCTTTGTTTAGTTGATGGCCTCTAGAAAAAGAAAATCTCTTTCTTGTTTTCATTGTACTCTTTTTTTTTTTGTTACTGTTGTTATGTGCCTTCAAAGAATTTCTGAACTATAGTGATCCTATCACAGGGTTTTCTTGGCAGGATTTGTTCAGAAGAGCTTTGCTGTTGTCTTGCTCTGAGATTGCGATTGTGTGACTTGCCACACAGAGAGTTGCATGGCTGATCTGGGATTTGAACCCCGACCTCCAGAGTTGTAGTCTAATGATCAGTCCTTTCCACCATGCTAGCTGTCTTAGTTGCCTTGCATTTCACGCGTTAAGTGAGGGATACATCCAATAAAATTAAGCTTATTGGAAAATATAACTGTAATATAAATTGGCGGCCCTGGTTTTGTTCAAGACACATATTCCAGTTTAGAGGATTGTATCGGAGCTGCAATGATAATGAGCCCTGAACTATCCAGTCTGTCAACATGCTGCAGGAAATGATTTTGCCCCTAGATGTTATCTTTCTATCCTACTGAAGTTTTGCAGGTGGCTCTTTTTCACACCCAACAGTGTGACTGTCAAGCCAGATCAAGCCACTTGGGTGTATCTTTCCCATCATACCTGTAGGCAAAGCAGCTGGTGATTCACAGTCATCTTTGACCAAAATGCTACACCCAATTTGCTGAGCACAAAAAGCTGTACAAAGACCTGCAGGGTCCCATAAAAGTGAACAAAATGTTTTCATTATTATTATTATTATTATTATTATTATTATTATTATTATTATTTGAAACACAACAAGATGAATCCACAGCAGACACTCTGCTGGCTGTTGAATTGGATCAGACATCATACACATTCCCAAGTGTCTAGGACTGTGTGATATATTGGCGAATAATGCGTGCAGATCCCAGTAAGGTGGCCTTCTGCAGCTGGCAGATGGTAATTTTGTCAGCGCTGGTTGTGTTTAAGTGCAGGCCAAGGTCTTTAGGCACTGCACCCAGTGTGCCGATCACCACTGGGACCACCTTGACTGGTTTGTGCCAGAGTCTTTGCAGTTCAGTCTTTAAATCCTCATATCGTGTCAGCTTTTCCTATTGTTTCTCTGCAATCCTGCTGTCACCTATGATTGCAACATCGATGATCCATACTTTGTTTTTTAACACGATTGTGAGGTCAGGAGTGTTGTGCTCCAGAACTCTGTCTGATAATAATAATAATAATAATAATAATAATAATAATAATAATAATAATAATCAGAAACACAACAAGATCAGTCCACAGCAAACAAGATCACTCTGCTGGCTATTATTATTATTATTATTATTATTATTATTATTATTATTATTTGATACATAACAAGATTTTGTGTTGTTGTTGTTTATTCATTCAGTCGTTACTGACTTTTTGTGACCTCATGGATCAGGCCACACCAGAGCTCCTTGACAAGATTAGTACACAGCAAACAAGATCACTTTGCTGGCTTTTGTATCCGATCACATGTAGGACACTTCCCAAGTGTCTAAGACTGTGTGATGGTGATGATGATGATGATGATGATTATTATTATTTTACTGACACAAAAACACAGTATGACACAGCAAACGAGATAAATATGTTGGATTTCGTATTCCAAAATCACAAGTCGAACACTTCCCAAGCGTTTAGGACTGTGTGATGTATTTTTAAATGATTTGTGCAGATCCAAGTAAGGTGGCCTTTTGCAGTTGACAGATTGTGATTTTGTCAATGTTTATTGTTTTCAAATGCTGGCTGAGATCTTTTGGCATGGCACCCAGTGTGCCGATTACCACTGGGAACACCTGTATTGATTTATGCCAGAGCCTTTACAGTTCGATTTTGAGGTCCTGATAATGTCTGAGGAGTTATTATTATTATTATTTGAAAGATGAGTCCACAGCAGACACTCTGCTGGCTGTTGTATTGGATCACACTTTCCAAGTGTCTAGGACTGTGTGGTGTATCGGTGAATAATGTGTGCAGATCCCAGTAAGGTGGCCTTTTGCAGCTGGCAGGTGATATTTTTGTCAGCGCCAATTGTGTTTAAATACAGGCCAAGGTCTTTAGGCACTGCACCCAGTGTGCCGATCACCACTGGGACCACTTTGACTGGCTTGTGCCAAAGTCTTTGCAGTGCAATCTTTAAATCTTCATATCGTGTCAGCTTTTCCAGTTGTTTCTCTGCAGTCCTGCTGTCCCCTGGTATTGCAACATCAACGATCCATACTTTGTTTTTTAACATGATCGTGAGGTCAGGAAACTCTGTCTGTCTGAATTTGGAAGTCCCAGAGTAGTTTGACATGTTCATTTTCTGTAACTTTTTCCGGCTTGTGATCCCACCAGTTCTTTGTTGCAGGCAGATGGTATCTGTGGCACAAGTTCCAATGAATCATCTGAGCAATGGTGTTGTGCCTCTGCTTGTAGTCTGTCTGCGCAAACTTCTTGCAGCAGCTGAGGATATGATCTATTGTTTCATCTGCTTCCTTGCAGAGTCTACACTTGGGACTTTTTTTAAATTCTGGATTTATTATTATTATTATTAGTAGTAGTAGTAGTAGTAGTAGTGCTAATATTATTATTTTACATGGAGGTTTGAACTGCCATTATCAATGTTATGGAATTCTGGCAGTCATACTTTGGTAAGGCGTCAACCTTCTTTGACAAAGAACGCATAACACCTTCTAAAATTACAACTTCCCATGAGTTGAGCTATTAGGAAGCCTGAGTGATTAATCTAGCATACAGCGCTATGCCCCCTCCTGTACTTAAGCAAACCAACATACTTTACTCATTGTTATAAGGATATCCTTTCTGTTTCTGCGATTAGCTCATGCAATGTCATTTTCATTTTTCCTCTCCTTCAACCCCAACCCTGTGCCCAGCTTTTCCTGGAATAACCTCAAAGCTGAGGGGATGAACTGGTCCTCATACCGAGAACTCTTGAGTGGCGTGAACAAGTACTCCACAATTTTGGGTCGTGTGTGGCTGACTGTGGTCTTCATCTTCCGTTTGCTTGTCTACGTGGTGGCAGCTGAAGACGTCTGGTCTGACGACCAACAGGACTTTGTGTGTAACACAGGTCAACTTGGCTGCACCAAGAGCTGCTACAACCAGTTCTTCCCTATCTCTCACATCCGTCTCTGGGCCCTCCAGCTTATCCTTGTGACCTGCCCTTCTCTTCTCGTTCTCCTGCATGTGGCCTATCAGGAAGCCCAGCAACAGAAGCACACTGAGGAAGCAGGAAAACACTGCCATTTGCTCTACTCCAACTTCAGTAAGAATCATGGAGGTCTCTGGTGGACCTACCTCCTCAGCATCCTCATCAAAGTGGCCGTAGATCTCACCTTCCTCTACATCTTTCACTGCCTCTACCCAAACTTCAACCTTCCAAAAATGGTGACTTGTGCTGCATTCCCCTGTCCTAATGTAGTCACCTGCTTCCTTGCCAAGACAACAGAAAAGAATATCTTCTCGTATTTCATGGCAGCTACTGCCATGCTCTGTGTCCTTCTCAATATCTGTGAGGTGGGCTATGTAGTAGTCAAGAAATGCACCAAGCTTGCAGTCTCCAAGAAGCCAAAGGACATTTTTGAAATGGACTCTCACATCTCCTTTTAGTTAACCCAAGATCCATAAACACCAGGAGCAAAGCAATTTGAATCGATAGGGCTCTCCTTGATATACAGAAATAAAGCTGTAAGATAGAAGAAATGAATTAAGAAGTAGACTAGGAAAAAATAGCCCAGGTTTTGGCCATGGTGGTTCTTGGGACTCGTTGTTCAAAAATGTAATATTTATAAACCTTGGAAGAAAGTATTAGGGCACAAATGGTTCACATTGGTGCAATTTGTTGGGGCATGTAAAAACCAGTTGGTGAGTTTGTTAGCTGAAAAATGCAAAGCACAAACCTATTGGTTGGGTGTCGCTCAGAAGCTAGCTGAGCCTGGGAGTTTTGGCAACAGTTACATGTTTAAGTTTTCTGTGCAGGAGCTCGCCAAGACAGTATTTTTGCTTCTTGGCTGCTGGAAGAAGATCTCTCACACGGACACCTAAGAACCATTTGAATCTCTTTCAAAGGACATTGTGTGAGTCAATACAACTGTTCATATATGGTGTTCTGGTACGGCTGTACCAGGAGCTCCAGCTTCTTTTTCTTTCTTTGAGTGTTTGCATGTATTTCAAAGTTCCATGCATTTTGCAATAAGGTGGCTTCCCTTGGTTTGCAATTATAGGGCCAATGACCCATCAACCATCATTAGGTTCTTTAGTTCCGCCCCTTTTTCTGGGTTTAGGAGGGAAAAAGGGGACCTCTAGTTCAGGTCACACAGAGAAGCCTTTCATACAGGGTGTGAGTCAGTTCCACCTGTAGAAAGCTTCGTCTTTCATAGCTTTTGCTGGGGAAATTCAGTCCCACAGCTCTACAGAGAAGCATAGCTTTTGCTGGGGGAATTCAGTCCCACAGCTCTACAGAGAAGCATAGCTTTTGCTGGGGGAATCCAGTCCCACAGCTCTATAGAGAAGCATAGCTTTTGCTGGGGGAATTCAGTCCCACAGCTCTATAGAGAAGCATAGCTTTTGCTGGGGGAATCCAGTCCCACAGCTTTACAGCCAACCTTCGCTGGGAATTGAAGACCTTCTTTCCTTTTGGAAATCTACAAAAGGACTCTGTTTGGTAAGGACCACTCACGGCAGCCATAACACAATTTGGACCGGGTGTAGGGGCCCATGCCAGCAGAGCCTAAGACAGATTGCCCAGGTAGAGGTCAAGGATTTCCCTGATAGAGAAGAAACAGTTCATGAAGATAGTTGCCTGTCCCTTGTGGACAAGATTAAGGAAGCCACCAGTTGATTCAAAGCCTTGAAGTATTTTTTTGATTTATTGAAGACCTAAGCACTAATAAAGAACTTTGGTAAACTTTCCAAGTTTCTAAAGACTTTGTTTAGGGAAATCTATAGGGCTTCTAATCTGAGGCATCCCCGGCATCCTGTTGGGCATACAGAGCACGTCCTGTCTACATACCTTTACACAGGCCCAGTGCGTGACAGCACATATGGTTCTCTGCATAACAAAGATATAACACCTTATTCTTTACTGATCATCTGTGTGGCATATCTTTTATGTAGCAAGACAGTGTGTGGATTGGTAAAGACATGAAATACACACAATTCACTAAAATACAACTGACACATAAATCCAGGACTGGGACCTCATCTCATGAGAGGAGGAAGCTTGGGGGGGGGGGGTTCTTCTTGCCATCACATTTTGTTCAGTTCTGTTTATAATTTCATTTATTTATTTATTTCACGTATTTCTACCCCGCCCTTCTCAACCCCCGAGGGGGGACTCAGGGCGGCTTACAAAGGCACAATTCTATGCCAGCATAAACATAACAATGGATAAAACATGTAAACAGCAATTATAACAATTAAGACAGTCAGTTTATACATCAATAAAAACAATCTAATACTCAGCGTTCACCATCTCAGAGTCCGTAATTCATTCCACATTGTCAAATACTATCGATTCTGGTCGTCATTATCCTTTGTCTATCTGCCAGATTGCCCAAAAGCCTGGTCCCACAACCATGTTTTTAATTTCCTTCTGAAAGAGAGGAGGGATGTCGATGACCTAATTTCCCCGGGGAGTGAATTCCACAGGTGAGGGGCCACCACTGAGAAGGCCCTGCTCCTCGTCCCCACCAACCTCACTTGTGATAGAGGTGGGGTCGAGAGCAGGGCCTCCTCAGAAGATCTCAAACTCCGAGGTGGGATGTAGAGGGAGATGCGTTTGGACAGATATGCTGGACCAGAGCCGTATAGGGTTTTGTAGGTCAAAACCAGCACTTTGAATTGTGCTCGGAACTGGATCGGCAGACGAATATATTTGTCCCCTATCGCATGCGATGTACTTTTGTCTATTTCTATTGTAATCCTCCATGTTCTATACTATCACACATGCAAGTATAGTCCCTGCCCATTCCACATTCCTCTTCTTATTTATTTATTTTTTTAAAGGGAAACTGCGCAATAACAGATTTTTGAAATCTAGGTTTAAAAAGGGGGGAAATATAGCAACAGCAGCAAGATCAACATTGCAAAATTCCTGAAGAAGACATTATTTTTAAAAGTTAACCTAGAAGTATCGTGCAATTTCAGGATTACTGGTGAGAAAAGGAGCATCGGGGCTCATTTGAAGACCACCCACACCAACACCCTCTCTCAAACACCACTAAAGTGATCTAACACAAGGGTGTTAATAAGTGCATTTACCAATTTCTGCACAAATCAAGAGCTGTCGCTACACATTTTCAATACATTTTAAGTCAGAGTCCTGTGGGGAATGGCTGGAAGTAGTTTTGCTCTGTGGGACTCTATCTTTAAACTGTTTTCAAACTGTGTAGAAATTGAGGGTGGGGGTGGATGCCAGTAACATCAAAATCGGTAGTTCTTAATATGTGAGCCGCAGACCACCGGTGAGCCACAGGGACGAAAATCCGCTCCTTCCTCTTTATTTATTTTTTTATCCGTGCCGCCTGCCACTCCCCTGTCGCTGACCAGCCTCGCCCCCTTGGATAAACCACATCAGCTCTAGATTATTAAAAATGGTTTTCTGTGGGCAAGCAGATAGCGACTATTGGATGGCATATGTTCTTTTTTAAAAAAAATAATCTTTATTGAATTTTTCAAGAATATGGAAGACGGGAAAGAAAAAGTATGGGGGAGGGATTTGGATTTGGGTGGTGCCTATTGGGGGTTCGGGGATGTGATCTAAAACATTTAACTCTGGGATAGAGAGGAAGAGAAAAAGAAGAAAGAGAAAAGAGAAAAAAAGACAAATTAAAATGTGACTTCCATTCTGTTTCCAAACAGTTCATACACTTATGTCTCCTGGTCTCCCTTTATTTATTCGGGGAGATATCCTATTTTAATTTTAACCCAACCATCTTGACTTCTTGCGTTTTATGCCTCTCTATTTCTGATCTAAATAACTTTATATTAATATTTGCTTTTCTCATATTCCTCAAAGGCTGTTCAATCCATTTGTTTCATTGATCTTCCAGAACTATTTCTCAGGAAGAACGTTAGTTTGTCCATATCTCTTATATCTAGTAGTTTATTGAGCCATTGCTCGGTTGTTGGAATTTGCTCGTCCTTCCAGTGTTTCGCAAAAGTTATCATTGCCGCTGTAGAGATATAAGTAAAGAGGACGTCTTCGTTACTATTTAAATTTAAGTCTTTGTCCATAAGACCTAACAAAAAATATTCCGGGTTCCAAAGAATTTTTTTTAAAAGATTTTTTGAGTCTCTTCTTGTACAGCCCGCCAATATTTGTTGGATTCTGGGCAGGTCCACCACATATGGTAATAGCTTCCTACATGTTTTCTGCATTTCCAGCATAGATTTTGATATTTTTCATACATCAGACTTAGCTTTTGAGGTGTCATGTACCATCTGTGGAAAATTTTCAGCCAGCTCTCTTTGAGGGCTACCGAATATGTATATTTTAAAATCCGCTCCTTCCTCTTTATTTTTTTTTTTATTTCCGTGCCGCCTGCCACTCCTTCTCTGTCGCTGACCAGCCTGGCCCCTTGGATAGACCACATCAGATTATTAAATATGGTTTTCTGTAGGCAAGCAGATAGCGACTATTGGATGGCATATGTTCTGTATCAGAAACTAGAGCTGATGTGGTCTATCCAATGCAATTTTCTGAATCAGCACCCCAAATAACCAAACCAAATCTAAAGTTGATCAAAAACCAATTCATAATCCTTTTGGTACTAATATTGGAGAGCGGTCCCTAGTCAAAGGAGTCCCTGTTCAGCTGATTCGTGGTCAAAGTGGTCCCTGGTTAAAAAAAAAAGATTGGGAAACACTGATCTAAATGAACATCTCTAGAATGTCTATACGAGATAAGGATGAACCAAAAGTGGTGGAAAGAAATGAGGAATAAAGGTTTATACAGAATTAAAAACATGTATGATGTGAATGGCCAATGAATACCGTTGCATAGAATAATGGGAAAGATTGGAAACAGAAACTGGCTAGAAGTATTAGGACTACATAATAAACTTACAAGGGAGATATGGAAGGAAAATAGAGGAAGAAAAGATGGAAGAGATATTTCTAAAAACATGGAAACTAGAGAAAGGATTGTCAGGACTAATAGACGAACTGGTGGTCAAGGACAGTGAATATATGATAAACACAATGCAAACTAAATGACAGAAAGAAGGGCCACAGATGAGACAAGTCACAGAGAGTTTAATGAACAGGATAAAAGAATTAAAATGGAAAAATATACAGAAATGGAAATAAAGAGGGAAAGACAGCAGGAAAGAGAGGAGGAGGGATGGAAGCGAATAGCAAAGGAAGGAAGGAAAGAAAGAAAGAGGGAGAGAAGGAAGAAAGAAGAGAGAGAAGGAAAATAAAAGGGAGGAGGAAGGGAGGGAGGAAAGAGATAAGGAAACGAAAAAAGGAAGGAACAAAGGAAAGAGGGAGAGAAGGAAGGAAGGTGAGAGAGAAAGTGGGAGGGAAGGTTGGCCACAGCACCTACTAACCCAAGGAGTGACCATCACTCAAAAAATTGAGTTTGTTATTTGGGAGTTGTAGTTGCTGGGATTTATAGTTCACCTACAATCAAAGAGCATTCTGAACTCCACCAACGATGGAATTGAACCAATTTGGCACACAGAACTCCCATGACCAACAGAAAACACTAGAAGGGTTTGGTGGGCATTGACCTTGAGTTTGGGAATTGTAGTTCATTTACATCCAGAGAGCACTGTGGACTCAAACAATGGTGGATCTGGACCAAATTTGCATGGATATTCCATAAGCCCAAATATGCACACAGATGGAGTTTGGGGAAAATAGACCTTGACATTTGGGATTTGTAGTTACTGGGATTTATAGTTCACCTGCAATCAAAGAGCATTCTGAACCCCGCCAATGACCGAATTGGGGCAAACGTCCCACACAGAACCCCCATAACCAC